ATCCACGATTGAGACCCCCATTGGTGTATTTGAATTGATACTAACCAACAAAATGACAAACTTACAAGGACTAGTTCACTCCCCACCTCTCTTAGGAAAGGAAAAATGACCACATAGGGAATTGATTTCTTGCCTATAATGGATGCATGGGCGGAGTTTAGCAAAGCTAAAGTGAAGCTACTAGAAATTCAAATAGAGAGAGAAACCAAAAAGGATAAAGAGAAGGAAGAACAACGCAAGAAAGATATGTCTACGACAAAATGCATGGATGTTGTGGGCAATTTTCTGATGATCCGAGTTGTTAGTGTCTAGCAAGTTTTGAAGGCAACTGAAATATTTGAGTATTGGAGACAAATGTTTATGATGTTTACATCTAAATGTCAACTTGAGTGGTTGAAGAAACTTTAGACATTGAAAACTTTGGGTTATTTGTTTGTTGCTTGTATTTGACTTTTTTAAGTGATTGAATATTTTATTAGTATGCTTTTTTGCTTATATTTTACTTTTTTATTTTGTTAACTTTTATTTGATACATATATTATGTCCATTATTTTTATCATATTTTATCATACTTCATATATCAATTAGTATAGAAATGTGTGTATCTTCGTAGGAATTCTATGGACATCAATGAAATAGATGACACCCCTTTCAATGAATGGGATGAAGATGATGATGAGCTTTTTGAACTTGTCTTCATTAATGAAGTGGTAAAATACTATAATACATACTGTGTTAAACAATTGTATTTCACATTGAGGATGAGTGGGCATGCATTTGTCATGAAGTGTTTTGGATGACTTAAAGCATTTTGATAAATGTATGATACGTTTAGGATGGAGGAACATGTATTTAAAAATTTTGCCAATCTTTTGAAAGATTGTATCCTTTTATCTAATAGTCGGAATACAACAGTAGAAGAATCATTTGCTATTTTCTTATAATTGTTGGTCACAATGAAAGATATTGATTGATTGTAAGTAAGTTTTAACACTCCAAAAATACTATTAGTATTCACTTTAAGAGGATTTGCAAATAAATTTGTAGTCTTGGGAGAGACTTGATTCGACCATCATTTGAAGAAGTGCAACCACATATCAGACATTCGAAGTATTATTTGTGGTTTCAGATATTTCTTTGGTGTCTTATACATCTATGTATGTCATGTATTATTTATATATTGATCATGTATTATGACCACTTAAAATTGTATTGGGGCAATTGGTGGTACTCATATAAGTGTATGGGTTCCTTTGGACAAACAAATCCCATATAGGAGGAGGAGGTTGCACTGCACCACAAATGTATTGGTTTTTTACTTGTTTGACATGAAATATATTTTCATTTACGTGAGTTGGGAAGGATCTGCCCATGACTCTAGAGTATTTGTAAAAGCTATTTTTCAACAATATTTAGAGTTCCTACATCCTCATGCAAGTAATTTATTACATGTTTATTTACTTGTGTCTAATGCATTTGATTACATACAACTTTTGTAGGGAAATATTATCTTGTGGATTCTAGATTTCTCGGTACGTCTGGATATCTATCACTTTATTCCGGTGAATGATATCATTTAAATGACTTTAGAGGGCCAATAAGAAGATTTTGATCAAAGAAAAAATTATTTAATTATAGGCATTCACTACTAAGAAATGTTATAGAGAGGTGCTTTGGGATATTAAAGGAAAAATTTCCTATTTTGTAGAATATGCCATCTTTTAATTTACAAATGCAATGATATATCTTAATGGCATGCTTCATTACCTACACGTTTATTAAGTAGGAAGACATTCAAGATAAAGACATTGATCAATGGGCAACGATAATCATGACTAATGGGGATTCAAATAAAGTCAGTGAGAGTGATTCTAATGAGGAAAATGAACAAACAAATATACAAATAACTAATATTAAGGACAATATAACAAATATGATGTGGGTGTAATATGAAATTGAACTGTTTCGGTTTTAAGGCCTGTTCGTTTCTTTTTAACTCTTATCTCTTAAGAGGAATCTTTTAACTTAAAAGAAAAATGGTTGTTCATTTCCTCTTATCTCTTAATTCTTAAAGTGCAACTATATGACTTTTTGTTTCCTAATACCCCCAAAAAGACAAATAAAAACTCTCATATATGGGGTTAAAATGGATATTTGATTATTTTTAAAATTCAGATGAATGAAAGGTTTACTAATACCAATATATCTCTTAATTTAATTATTGCACTTTTAGACGTTAAACCTCAAAACAAATGAACATTCCCTTAGTTTTAATTTGAATTTCAAATAATATAGTTAACATGTTAGATATGTTTGAAACATTATGAATTTACTTGTGATACATTGGATTTGTTTTCTTTGTTTATGTGAAGTAATCCTATCTCATTATTATATTTGTATTGATAAATTGATACAGTGATGGTCGTATATATATGCATACCAATGTGCTCATGTGGTAAGGGACCAATGGAGCTAGTCATGGCAAAAACCAATGCCAATTATGGATGATGGTTCTTCGGTTGTCCAAAATGGGAGAATCACCCAAATTCATTTCAATGGGTAGATGAATTAATTGAATATGATGCTCAGGTAGCTCCATGTATAAATTATACGACCCATCATCAGCACATCAGACTTCATGTGGTATAAAGGCATATCGAATTCTACAAGTTTGATATTATGTTGCTTACATGCTGTAGGTGCAATATACTTTGCACTATTCTTCTTATCTCTCTTACAATGATGGTTTTATTACTTTTGTTTAAGTATTAATTGTAATATTGGTGGTTTATCTATATACCATTTCAGGAAACCAGTTGACCAATATTTTGATGCTATGCTTGTCTTACAACTAGTGCGAGAACCAATGGATTATAAGTTTGCATAAATAGTTGGGTGCTATTGCTTATCTTGTGATAATTTGTTATTTTGTTTGTTTAAATAATATTTTTTAATATTTTATTAATAAAATACAAATTTTATTTTTTAGTTATTTTATTGCCATTTTGTTGCAATTAATATTTTTTAGTTAATATTCAATTATCAAAGCCTTTTTTCTTCAATTTGTTTATCATATAAATTATATAAATTAGACATTTATGATCGACTGTATAGATTACTTTATAAACTGTATATAAGATACATAGAATAAAAAAGTATTGTATGGACATCCACACCATGCCTATAGAATACCACTATGGGTGTAGATTGGTCTAATCCATATAGTCTATCCATATTTTAGAATAGTTGTGACTGTGGTATGGTGTGGGTTGGTCCCTGCCACAGGGTGTGGTGTCGATTAGTCCACACCCACCAATTTTTCATTAACGCTACAGAACACCCCCTAAGTTGTGTGCAACTATTAAATGTGGATGAGAAATTGGTGGGTGTGGATCAGTCCACACCACACCACATCATAGTACACAATTGTTTTGAGCTATGGACAGACATGTGTGGATTGGACCAGTCCACACCTACAGTGGAATTCTATAGGTGTGGTGCAGATCAATCCACACCACACTCTTTAATTCCATGCATCTCATATACAGTTTATGAAATAATCTGCACAATTGATCATAAATGTCTAATTTTTATAATTTATATGATAAACAAATTGAAGAAAGGCTTTGGCAATTGAATATTAACTGAAAAACATTACTTTCAACAAAAATTGCAATAAAATAATTTTAAAAATAAAAATGATTATTTTATTGATAAAAATATTAAATGAATAATATTTAAACAAACGAAATAACACATTATTGCAAGATAAGCATAACATCAAACTATTTATGCAAACTAATAATTCATTTGGTTCTCATACTAGTTGTGGAGAATACCTATATGAATGCTAGGAGAGAGATTTGGTGGAGGAGACTTTCCTTTGTAGCAGAGCATAAAGGTAGATGAGAGATTCGGTGGTGGAGAATGCCTAGGTAATGTTCGATGATAAAATGATGTAGGGCTTGGGAGGATGCATGTGATGCATATTATCAAAAAATGGAGTGTGGACTAACCCTTTCCATGAGAAATTAGTGTTGCTAATATTTTGGGGTGTGGACAAGGCCGGTCCATGATATAGTGTGGACTGGTCTTGTCCACGCCTAACCGTACAGCATGTTCACCCCGTGGCGTGGATGGAAATGATCCATCCACGAGATGAACACACTTTCGAACACCGCATAAATGTCCATGTTTGATTGACCACGAAGCTCTAATCAGCCAATTATAACAACTTGAAACAAAATGATTAACTTATAAGTTAATAAATTAATAGTTTAATATTTTTATTAAATAAGATAATTAATGGCAACCCTTAATTAAGATATTTAATTAGTTAGCAACTTAAATAAGATATTTAAATTAAGAACTTAATTAAAATTTCAATAAATGACTTAATAACTTAATTGGTTAATTAATGAAGGTCCTGGTTGTTAAATCTTTTTTGAATGATCTTCTGGAAGATCTAACATCCAAAAGATGCAATAGGTTTTTACAAAGAAAATACTTAAATAAGTTAGGTAGCCAATGATGTTAATAGCTTAAGAAAATACTTACAAATTAGTAAAAACTAATAGAAAATTTTTGTTCAAACTTAAAAACTTAGGTGCCTTTTGGCAAGGCTTTTTTAAAAGATCTTCCGAAGACCTGACAGCTATAATATGCAGATATATGTGTATCATAAAATATTGAGTAGGCTAATATTAGGTTGTGCCGGGCTTGGACTATCTAAGGGCTCAACCCAAGACCAACCTGAGTTTTGGTTAGGCCTGAATGTGCATGTGCAAAGGTTCTAATTGGGCCATTGAGTTAGACCCACCCAAATTACACACCAAATTCCTTTTCCCTCAAGTTAAAGTCTATCAACATAATGATTAATGGACCCAAAATTTGGGCTTGATATGGGTCAGCCCAGGACCAGTTATATGGCCCATGAACAGAGTCAACTTGAGAAGTATCTTGGATGTTGGACCTGTGATCCACTGACCGTCCGCACTTGGGCGATCCCTGATCCCTCTCTTCTCCTTCCTTTTCTGCCTATGATTTTACATTCTTTGCTCAATGAAAGTACAAAACGAACCATGAGATGATCTGAAGACATTTCTCTGTCGCTCCCTCATTCTGCTCTTCTTTAATCGATCAATCACACGGTTGCAACTTGATTCTGAGAGCGAGCCAGCGAGTCTGTTTCATTCTGATTTCTGAGAAAGAAAAGATCAGAGAGGGAGGGGGGGATTCAGTAGTTGGTATAAGACTTTCTTCTGATGAGGAGTAATGGTACGCACTGAGAAGGAAGGCATAACATGCTTTCTCTGCGTCCACTTCGCAGATTCTGCTTCGCTACCAATGTTATTGCTGACTCAGCTACTGCTACAACAGCTGCTTCAACTCCTGTTCCAAAACCGAGACCATTAGACGAGCCCGCATTGGTCAAGATCAAAGCTGAGAGAGACCCAGATAAGCTCTTTCATTTATTCAAAGCCAATGCCCACAACCGATTTGTCATTGAGAATCGCTTCGCTTTCGAGGACACCGTCTCTCGTCTAGCTGGTGCTCGACGATTTGACTATATAGAGGAACTCCTCGAGCACCATAAGACTCTTCCTCAAGGCCGCCGGGAAGGCTTCATTGTCCGGATAATAATGCTATATGGCAAGGCGGGGATGACTAAGCATGCTCTCCAGACTTTCAACGATATGCACCTCTTTGGGTGCCGCAGGACTGTCAAGTCCTTCAATGCCGCACTCAAGGTTTTGACGCAGACCTGCGATTTGAAAGCCATTCAGTTTTTCTTTGATGAGGTTCCGTGGAAATTTGGCATTTCTCCAGATGTGTTTTCTCTCAATATTGTTATCAAGGCTTTCTGTGAATTGGGTGTGCTTGATATGGCTTATTTAACCATGGTAGAGATGGAAAAGGTGGGGATAAAACCTGACGTGGTTACATTCACTACGCTTATATCTGCGTTTTATAAGAATGATCGTTCTGAGATTGCAAATGGCTTGTGGAATCTAATGGTGCTTAAGGGGTGTTTCCCGAATCTTGCTACCTTCAATGTTAGGATTCAGCACTTGGTTAACAAGAGACGAGCATGGAACGCTAATGCCTTAATGGGTAAAATGCAGAATATGGGGATAAACCCAGATGAAGTGACATTCAATCTTGTAATCAAGGGCTTTTGCCAGGCTGGTTTCCTTGAAATGGCCAAAAGGGTTTATTCTGCTTTACATGGTAAAGGTTACAAAGCCAATAGCAGAATTAATCAGACAATGATTCATTATCTTTGTAAGGCAGGTGAGTTCAATACGGCATTTGGGATGTGTAAGGTCAGCATGAGTAGGAACTGGTTTCCTAGTGTGGATACCATCTATAGGCTACTTGTAGGTCTTAAGAAGAATGGGCAGTACAACAAAGCCAAGGAGATCATGGTGCTAGTTCGGAAAAGAATACCTCCTTATTCTGCAAATGAACTTGAGGGTTTTGAGGCCCTATTGTTGCAAAATTGAATAAAGTGCTAGATGGAAAAGGGGATTCATTTATAAGTGTAACCATTCAGCTTGAAGGGGCAATCCTTTTGTTCCTATTATATTCATTTTTCGATTTCTGAAATTATTGAAGTGGAGGGGTACTTCCAGTTTTGTCTGCTGAATTTGTTGTATCATCTTAATGGAGAACACTCAAAGTCAAATGAGAATTCTGATGACCAAGACTCACATGGGTCCTATTGTAATTTGTAAGTTACTGCAAAGAATCTTCTTTCTATATCTATTTCTTTGTCTTAGTTATTGTCAAGAAGAACTTGCAATGAAAATTAAATGTTAATTAAGTATCATTCTTGAAATTTTAACATTGTTTTTGAGTTTCCAAGATTAATTTAATGGAAAGCCTTTCTTGTTCATTGTCTTCAGCTTGGGCAGATTAGGACCAGAATGGTGAACTGAAGGAATGAGGTCCTTCTAGTTGGTTGCCTATGAAATTTTGTCAATGGTAATTATCTAAATGTTTTTCTCATTATTGATCTGTTATGCATGACCCAGAACTGTACCAGTCCTGAACTGATTATTTAATCGGGACAAAACATAGACCCAGAACTGTCCCAATTAATAATCTGGATGGTTGAGTCTGAGCCGATAGACCTGATTATACTGACATTTATAATTTTTTATGTAAATAATAATTTAAAACTTGATTTTTGATAATATAACATTAATAAAATGATAGTGAAATGGTTAATTATTTATATGTTAATAAGTTAAGTATTTTTAACCAAAATTATCTTATACATTATCAAATTTGCCCTCTTAGACATAAATTATAATAAAATTACAAGAAAACTAGAAAACCTTTATATATTATTAACAAAATAATAGGTTCAGGTCTGAGTTGGTTTGGAACAAGCAAGAACCCGAACTGACCCAATTATTAATAGGGACAAAATGACAGAACCAGAACCGACATAACCGGTTTGGTTCGGTTCAGTTGGTAGGTAGAACCAACCCACTGACAGCCCTATTCCATATTATCTTTAAAACAGTTGTGCTTGTGTTATGTTTGCCTCAGTACTAGACTTGGAAATTGCTATTTAAGAAGTTTGAGAAGGATGGTTAATAAGAATGCTTTGATTTTCATCCTCAGGCAATGCAAACTTGAATAAATGGGCAACCAAGTGCACGAGGCTCTAGCCGATGCGGGGTCTGGGGAGGGACAGATGTATGCAGCCTTACCCCTGCACATACAAAGAGGCTATTTCCAAGATTTGAATATGGTAATGAAATCGGAACATTTGGCTGTTTCCCTCTACAGTGGAAAAGAATGTAATTGTTATGCTCCTCTTGGCTATTTTGGCATCTCATTGGAAGAAAGGGATATGTATGTCCATAAGATCATTTGCCATCATTCTTGTGCACGTTTGTTTTTCAACTTTCTGTATTATATGTTTGTTTTGTTTGACTGTTTAGAAATTGAACTTTTCTTTTCTTTTTCTTTTTTGAGTTTGGTAAGGATTTGTAATTTGGAAGATATCTGATGAATAACTTGTTAGTGTCGAGTGGTGAGCAAGAGAAAAGCCCACTTAGGCCAATCGGGTCCATCAAGAAGGTATATGCTAGGGGTCCACGTAAGCAGGTCCAACATTTGTGATCGTAAACCATTGTAACAAATGTAACTAAAAACAGATGGCCAATCTGAGGTGGTTAACTGCACACTGGAAACTTATCTATGTTGTTTTACAGGCGATTAGCCGTGGGTGTGGCTCAAATGGTTGCTGTGGACCAAGTATTGGTACAATACCTCGTACCACAGGTCACTACAGGCTACCATTCAAGGCTCTCTATGGGTGTGAACTGCCATCCTTGCTACCCTATGATAAAGGATCAACAGCAGTGGCTGAAGTGGATGATTACTTGGTCCAGCGAGATGTTGTCCTTAAGGACCTTAAAACCCATTTCACTGTATGCTCAACAGCAGATGAAAATGCACTATGATAAGACACATCGGGATGTGTCTTATGAGTAGGGTGACTGGGTTTACTCAAAACTTTGTCCATACAAACAGAGCAGCTTGGTGAAAAGAAGCTCCCAGAAGCTTGCTCCTTGATTCTATGGGCCATTCCAGATCCTTGAGAAGGTAGGTAAGGTTGCCTATAAGCTAAACCTTGTGGACTCCTCCAAGTTACACCCCACCTTCCATGTTTCATTACTGAAGAAACACCTGGGTCCCATTACTCATGTCTCACCAACGTTACCTGAGTTCTCAGAAGATGGTGCCTTATTACCAGAATCAGCTCAAATTGTTGATTACAGATGGATTAAGAGGGGTAATGCAACAGTTCAACAAGCCCTGGTTGTTTGGAAACATTACCCAGTAGAAGATGTCGCATGGGCCCAATTACTCATGTCTCACCAACGTTACCTGAGTTCTCAGAAGGTGGTGCCTTATTACCAGAACCAGCTCAAATTGTTGATTGCAGATGGATTAAGAGGGATAATGCAACAGTTCAACAAGCCCTGGTTGTTTGGAAACATCTCCCAGTAGAAGATGTCACATGGGAAGACTACCATACCATCTTGTGCCAGTTCAGTTATTTCAACCTTGGGGGCAAAGTTGCTTCTGTGGGGGATGGGATTGGTAAGAGTGGTGAGGAAGAGAAAAGCCTACTTAGGCCAATTGGGTCCATCAAAAAGGTATATGCCAGGGGTCCATGTAAGCAGGACCAGTATCTGTGACTGCAAACAGTTGTTGTAACAGATGTAACCAAATGTAATGGCATTGTATAAAAGGGCAAGAAGAGTTGGAGTTTTCCCTCCAACTGTGTGTGTGTGTGTGTGTTTGAGGAGACAGAGTCTCTCTCAAAGTAGACTCCTGAGGTGAGCAGGAACTCACATATCCCCATAAATAAAACCAAAACAGAAAAGCAAACAAAAAACACATTGCAAAAATTAAACTGCATGCAGTTGTTATTCACACAGTTCTTGATAAATCAAGGCAATGAGTTTTTTAATTTGGTTTTCATTTATTGTTATTCATTCATTTTCTTTGATCACTTTTTTCTAACAATAAGACTCATCAGTTTGATCTTATCACAAGTTACTGAATTGTTACTGACGAAGAGTGACTGGTGAGATAACCTGGATTTAATGATAAGATGAAATAGTTACTAGTCTTTGGATATAAGTTGAGTTTTTTGTTGTCTTGATGAAATTGATGAATCAAAAACAATAGAAAGGGTATGTTAGATCTTTGTTTGCTCAAACATACTCTTTTTGGTTATTGTTGTTACTTGGTTCTCTAGGCATGTGCATATCATTTGTCATCATTAATTTATTGTGGAATCTTGTTCGACATTCAAAGACATGAACACTGAGTACCTCACTGTCAAAGGCAGATTTGCACTTGTAGTGACTAGTGTTCTTGAGATGCAAAGGTGATGTTCCTGTCTGGTCATCAATGAGGTTGCTAGTGACTGGGAAACTTAAGAATTATAGTTATATTTATGATAAATATATAAATATATCCATACATACATTTGCACATGCATTTATAATCCTACATTCTGTTTCCTCCAAACACAGTCTAATATTTTATGCACTAGTAGCCTCTTCAAAAGAATTATTTTTGGCATAACTTGGCAGTAATTCTACTTCATTATGACTGATAGGCAACACAAAACCTTCATAACTGTCTTCATTGTAGTACAGCAGCTCATTGAAGTACTTATATCCATATTTTGAGGGACTCCAATGCATTTTCAACCTTTTGCACTCTCAAAATCTCATCAGCTACCAAACAAATAGCTTCAAATGATGTAACACTTGTCTGGTGACTCTGTAATTACTTGAACCTGTTTTTGTTCATCAACATCATCTTCCCTTGTATGGTAAGTTGGTAACCCCATTCTCAATAATGCTTTCCATTTTGAAACTTCAATACAACCATCTTGTACGTGGCCAAGGAGTCAGTACTATCCCTTTCCCCAGATTCCTGTTGAACCCTCCCTCCAAGACAGTATCCTGAGCTCCCAAAATCCTCATTGGCCCGATTCAAATTCTATAAACTTATTGAAAGTTCCCAGAGAGCTAAAGAAGTTACTACTATGTAAGTGAATTCACACCTACATCCAAGGTTCAAAATATACAAACGTATTGGTGTGTATTGTATGATACATATTGTTTTCCAGGCTCATTGGTATGCTATATATTAAGATCTAATGTATTTTAATTGTTTTAGATGATAAGATATGACATGGCAATTCTACTGACAACAAATCAGAACAAAAACGTAAATAAAAAAGTTCTGGTTGAATGAAACTCTTGATATGCAAATTTTACGTATCAAGAGTGTCGATATTGAACCTTGCTTACATCAGTATAGAAGATGGGTACTTCAATTATCAGTAGTTGTATAGCCACTCTCTATATTGGGTTCATCCCATTTACTATCAATAATATATACTTTACCTTCTCTCTCTCTCAAAAAAAAAAAAAAAAGAAAAAAGAAAAATTACTTCAACCTGTCAAGCATCACCAACTTCCAGTTTATGACTTAGCCAGGAGGCAGTTTGTCATATGGATCTGGAGAGGTAATATTGAAGTTGTTCTCCTTCTCTCTCTATTAATCATCTGAACTTAAAAAGGTTGTATATTTAACGCAAAGTAACAATAAAAAATTAGTCACAGTTGTAACACTCAACAGATGATGCAAAGACCAAAGAGTTCCATCAACAAAAGATTGAAAACCGAATTTCTAGCAAAAGAAGCATTAAATAAAAGAGGAAATGTTCTTTTCTTGGACTTCCTCGCCTTCCGGATTCTTAAAACTGAATTTTGATGGCTGTAGTGTGGGGAATCCAGCGCCTTCTGGAATTGGGGGTGTGTTCAGGAATGAGGAGGGGTTTATTTTAGCTTTGTTTTCAGGCCCTATTGGAGAAGGAGACTCACTCAGGGCTGAGATCTTTGCGGCTTTGGAAGGAATCCGAAAAGCTAAGAAGCTGAACATCAGAAGTTTGGTCCTTGAAGGTGATTCAGAGGTGGTGATTAGATGGCTAAAGGAAGATAACAGTAGCATGTGGAGGTTTAGCAATGAAAGGAAGAAATTCAAATGGCTTACTAGGGATATTGAGGTGAAGTATAGCTAGGTGAAAAGAAATGCTAACTCACTTGCCGATGGACTAGCCAAACAAGGGGTGAATAGGGATTCTTTATTTTGGGATAATTTCTAAGTCTGGTATTGTTTTCTAATGGTGGGGAGATAAGACATTTTGTCTCTCCCTTTCTTGTATTTAAAATTTCACATCTTTAATAAAAGTTTTCAGTTATTGATAAAAAAAAGGAGGAAAGGGAATAGAATTTTTGAAGGTTTTGCACCACTTGTATGGACACAATCTTTTTCTCCTTTTCTCTTTCTTCCATCTCATGTCCTTAATTTCTCCTAAGCCTATTTTATAGACAAGTGGGGCATTTTTATACCATTATTAAGATTATTGTATCCTTACAAGTGCACTTTTGATCATCATCATCCATGCCTTATCCCAACTATATGGGGTCAGCTACATAAATCTTATTTCGCCAATCTCTGTTCTATTAAAATTGCACTTTTGTATCATTATTATATCTTTTTTGGGGTAAGGAAATCCTAGGATGATTCAGTTAGCCTATTTGGTTGTTGAAGTGGGGTTGTATTTTGAAAGTTGTTGGTAAAAGGGACCAAAAGTTTGTTTCTAATAATGAGGAAACTTACTTCCTGGCTGTCAATTATTTACCTCCCTCGGTGTTAACTGTTAAGCCTTCTAAATTGACAACTAAGGTTTGTTCTATTATTGCTACTTTCTGGTTTACCCTCTTAAAGCCATGCAAATTAGTTGGCTCATGTTTTGCTCTCTTTTAGTTGGACAAAAAGTTTTTTCTATTGCTTTAGTTGGCTCATGTTTTGCTTTCTTTTTGTTGGAGGTGGTTTTGAAAGTTTTACTGTTTCTTATTATTTTTTTATTTTTCTTTTGTAGTTTCCATTTTTTCTTCCCAGTTTAGTGAAGGAATAAAGGGGAGGGACTAATTCATACTTCATTCTTCTGATGCAGATTATCAAGAAACTTGTTTACTTGGGACTTCATGTATTCATGGTTCTCAAGAAATACTTAAAGTACTATTTTGAATGAGATGGTAAATCACCTATTGAGGGATTTGACTTAATTTAAACGGAAAGCTGCAATTCGAGATTGAAATCAAAGTAGCAGTGAGTTCAAAGGAGCATGATGAATGGGAAAGAGCTAAGTGGTGTTAGAAGTTAGAACTCTGATGCATAAGCACATAAGAAAGGGAAAAGGAAAATAGGAAGTAGCTTAAGTAGGTGAAATAGAGGAGAAAAGAGAGAAGTCAGAGAAAATGAAGGTCAGTTATTCTCAATGGTAAAAAGAAAGTATACTATGGTGTTACTCTTTTCTTGTGGGAGAGTACAGCATTTTTGGCGGTTGCAGAGTTTAACAATGTTGGTTGCTCAGTCTGTTAGGCGAGGATTATTGCTGTTTAGGATGAGTTATAAAGTAACATGCATTTAGAAGAGCATTGTATATCCAAAATAAATCCTTTATTTCGGTCATAAGTCATAATTCTAAAAGCTAGAAAGCCTCTTCTTTCCACTCAAATGTGTTCATCTCATTTCAATCAAATTAGTAATTAATAATTTACAGAATTATATAAATATTAATTTAAAAATATGGACTAGTAGGATTGTTAGATACATATCATATGATGTTGTAATTCATAAATTTATTTGATAAAATAATTAAATATATCATTCTGCCAATATATGGTCTGTATTTGCCCGTATTGACCAATATAGTTTTTTTATGAGAAATGAAATAATAATATTGGGCATGCTTGGAACCGTTTACGTTTATTGAAAAAACGGTGCCACGTAAGCGTCATATCAGCATTTTTTGGCTTCAAACTCATTGTTTGGTATGCGCGTTTATTAAAAAAACGCAAATAAACGTTTATGTGTTTATTTCTATTGGTTTTCGTGAAAATAGCCGTTGGGGGATGCAGCTGAAGATTTTAGAGAGAGTGTTGTATGTCTCTGATTTGCCACTGGTATGTTCTTTGAGATCTATTTTCGTCTGTTATTGTTTTTTATTTTTTGTCTGTTATTTTGAGGTAGCATTTAGCTATAAAGATTTGAGAAAACAAATGTATGTGTTTGTGACACAATATGGAAGGTTGCCTAGCTTGTATGTGTTTGAGAAAACAGATGTATGTGTTTCCAAGAGATAGGAACCCAGTTCTGAAACACGAAAAAAAAACTCAGAATTAGAGTTACCCAGTTCTGTCTAGTTGTCCTATTGTTGTGCCAAAGAGCAAAATTGGCTAGCTGCCAGCAAAATGTGGTAATATAATCTGGCAGTGTTTATCAACTAAAACGTTATTACTTAAGGAGTTGGGTTCTTTGAATATAATCCCCAAGTTTCACAAAGGAGTGGAACAGGTATCAACTGATTTATTTGTTCAAAAAATGAAAAATCTTTAGAAGGCGGCAATTTGGTGGGACTTGTGAAAAAATTGGTTGGTGAAGTTGTGTTTCTGCTTGTTATTTCCCGGTTCCATGGTGAACATATGGTATTAATTCCTCTATTGCTGCAAGAGGTGCTAAGCCTCAGAATGGTAGGAAAGACACCGGCACTAGCAGTAGTAGCAGCAACTGAACAACCTGCCAATAACAATTTCAGGTTAGTTCATAAACATAATGGTAGTAGGGTATGTGGTATGGTTCTATTTTTTGTTTGATATCAGATTTAAACCTCCCTGATGAGGCGAAGATTGGCAGGAAAAATCATGGTTTTGATGTCAGAGGGAGGTCTGCTATGGTTACACAGTATGGGATTTGGTGCATGTCCTTCGTGTTTATTACTTGTCATTGCAAACTTGTTAGTATGGAATACATAAGGATTTTGTGCTTTTATTTTTATTAATTTTATTGGATGCAATTGAGAGAGAGAGAGAGAGAGAGTAATTTGAGATGTGAAATTTACTTGAATTTGGGCTTTGACGGGCCCAATCCAAGCCCTAATTGATATACCTTGCCAATGGTATCTTTGTTATTCAAAAGAAAAAAAAAAAAGTGGTCTGGTAAAATGTTGGAAAGAAGATAGATATTGGCAATTTTACATTTCATAAATGTAAAACAATTCCGTGTTGTTTTGCTCAGTTTTCTTTTGAATAACATTAATAGCCATTATTCTCTTATAGGTAACAAAGATAGATAGATAGAGAGAGAGAGAGGCTCAGTGAAAGTGTCATATATCCACCGTTGGATGTGGATTATATCATATATTAACCGTTAGATTTGAAAATCGGTCTTTAAATTGAAGCATATATAATTTGGACCGTTGGATTGACTAATGTATCTTATACACCACAATGAAAATGCCACACTGAAACATCCATATGGCTGTTTCTTGAAACGCCCCACCAAATAGCATGAAATGAAAAAAACGTTATTATTGCTGAAGTGTAAAGGGGCATTTCTTGAAACGCCCTGATAAACTTAACCAAACAACAAAATAAAAAACGTTTAAAGTGGAACATAAATGAAACCAAACACATGCATTAACTAGCGGGAAACAAATGTTAAGAAGTACAATCAGGTCTGCCGTCTGCCCCACCAAATACAGTCTTCCACAAAAATTTTAGCCTTTTTTGAGCTAACTAGCTAAGGTTAAATACAATGCAATACATACCAATCGGCACGTGTGAAATGAATGGACACCGTCCCTATTATACCTGTGCCACATGCTGGTCTCCATTGGAAATAGATATTATATGCCTTACATTGAGCATATCTTATCAATACTTCAAAGTTTAAACCTTCGAGCAGTACCTGAGGCAATTGAGAAGATAGGCAGCTGCAAACCGTATCCGATTATTCGAGTTCAAATTTGATACATCTATATTTGGATCAAATATGGATTGGTCATTTATATATACGAATAATCGAATTTGATATATTTATAATTGGATCAAATATGGATTGATCATTTAATATATACGAATGATCAAATTTGATATATTTATAATTGGATCAAATATATATTATGTAAAAAAATATATTATATTTATCATTGAAGTTGATCTCAATGTTATATTTTTCATTAAATTTTTATAAGTTTATGTTTTATATAAATAAATTTCAAATCATTTTGTTTATAAAATATAATATTAAAGTTATTTATAACTCATTTTATTAATAATATATAACATTTAGGTCATTTTTAGTCTAATTTATTTATATTATTTAATATTCAATTATAATTCAAATTGGGTTTAAATCCACTAAATATCCAATGGATATGATTCGATTTGAATTCAAATGTAAACAAATCAAATTCGGATATACCTATATTCTATTGATTCGATCTATTTGCAGCCCTAATTTGATTTGTTCAAGAAGAATTGTGCCTTAGGGTTCCCAAATATGTTTTACATAATCACCTTTGTTTTTGTTTTGTCTTTCTGCAACATAGTCAACTGTATTTTATGTTAATTCTATCCCCTCTATGCGTATGGCAATGGTTAGGCGCTTTCAATGGTATATTTATATTCATTTGCAGCAAGCTAACGGTGCACTATAAAATCTGTGGGTGAGATAGGTAGGGCTACAAACGACATCCATTTGTCTGAATTTGAATTCGTGTCTGATCCGATTGAGCCAAATTTGATGGATCAAATATAAGTCCCTCTCGAATCTATCACTCAATTACTTTAACTTTATTCAAGTTAAGCAATTATGTCGTTTTCTCAGAAAACAGTGCTGATGGATCAAATATAAGTCCCTCTCGAATCTATCACTCAATTACTTTAACTTTATTCAAGTTAAGCAATTATGTCGTTTTCTCAGAAAACAGTGCTGAATGGATGAGGGTCTGTTTCACCGTTTTCTGAGAGAACGATTTTTTTTTTGTTTGGCATCTATGCTGCTACATAGGATGTTTTCTTGAGAAACGACATTGTTTTTGTTTGATACCTGTGTTCTATAACCATTTTCAACATTGGTTCATATTATCTAATGATTCACATGATGCCACATTGGTGCCATATCGTAATACCATTGACAGTAACGATTAGGAAAATGAAAAAATGCCAGATTTAACATTTTCTCAGACCACACCTTCCAAGGCATGACTGTTTTCTTTGCATTTCTGAAAAAACAGTCCCAAACAAATCTATATTTCTTGGTGCACCTTTTTTTCTATTGTGGTGCTGATGTAGAACCGTTTTACAAGGCAACCACATCGATGTCAAACACCACCCAATATTGCAAGGGGCAGCTAATCCTGGCTTACACGGATCAGATCAAATGGAAGCTTTAATCTTGAAGAACCTTCAAATGCTTTACACGGTAATCACAAATCATACGAATGTTGTTTTTCATGACTAATCCTGGTTTCGTGATCTCAGAAACAACCTTCCCGTGCAAGGTTTAAAGTATCACTACTTTCCATAATCCATACACAAAAAATTGATATATTGTGATCTTTTTGTATTTAATTTTTTATTTGAAAATTTGTGAGAGGTTATGATATGACCTCTTTTATTTAGAAAATATATATATATAAAAGGAAAGAAATAATAACTGGAGATGTTGTTGTTGTTGAGAAATTTAAGTTCATTTAGGGGACATTCTACAACATGAATGTTTTATTTTTTATTTTACAATTGATATATCGTGATTGTTTACTCATTTCATAGAGAGGGTGTGGGTGGCTGCCCTTGCACAGCCCCCAAGAAGCCATGCTAACTTTGAGTTGGAACTGCCAGGGGTTAGGCTCTCCCCTGACAGTTCGAGCCCTGAAAAAAGCCTGTGGTCAAGTCAAACCTTCTATTTTATTTCTCATAGAAACAAAATGTTCTTTGCTTGAAAGTTGATCGAAACTAAGTTGGGTTAAAGAGGAATGTTGGGGGGTTGATGCAGTTGGGCTGTCAGGGGGTTTAGCAGTTTTTTTGGAATCCTGATTTGAATATGAAAATAATTGTTGTGAATGAAAGAAGCATAACTGTTGCAGTCGTAGGAAATAATGGAAAATTATAGCATATTTCTTTCTTATATGGTGAACCAGATAGGAAGAATAGAGTAGTTTTCTTGCAACTGTGGCAAAGCATTGCCAGACTGCCCTTGGACCCATGGGTTTGTATTAGTGATTTTAACTTGTTTAGGAAAGAAGACAAACTAGGAGGGAAAAAGATAAATAGAATGGAGATAGCAAGAAATAGGTGTTTTATTAGATCTTTGGGTCTAAAAATCATAACCAGCCATGGCCCTAGATTCACCTGGACAAACAAAAGAGAGGGTTCAAGAAATGTAAAAGAGAGAATAGATCTTGCTATGGCCAACAAGGAGTGGTTAGAATTGTTTCCTAAAGCAAGAGTTGTTCACATGACAAGTGGAGGGTCAGATCATACCCCTATAATGATGGATCCTGTGCCTTTTCTGGGCAAGAGAGCGAGGCCTTTCAGATTTGAAGACATGTGAAATACTCATGAGGACTGCTCAAAGTTAATTGAGCAAAGCTGGAAAGCCACCAAGGAAGGAGGAGTGGATTGTAAGGAACTGCAAAATTTTACAGAAAGAGCA